ACTAACATGTAGTACTTGATCTGTGCTAGACACTGCCCCAAGCCCTTTATTTATTTATTTATTTATTTATTTATTTATATTTATTTAGTTTTTTTTTAGCTGAGCCATCCTGCCACCTGTTGGCAGTTTAGCGGCAGCTCAGCTCGGACCATGAATCAAACCGGTGACCCTGTTGCTCAGAGCTTGCACTCTTGAGCAAGTTCTTAACCAACTCAGCCACTCGGCTGGTCCTTGCCCTAAGCCCTTTAAATGCATCAACCATTTTAAACTTCACAGCAACCCATGAGGATGGGTACTGTCATCACCACCATTTTACAGATGGGAAAACTGAGGCCTACAGAGGTAAAGTGTCTTGCCCAAGGCCACAAGCTAATAAGTTTAGAGCCAGGTTTTCCACTGGGGTATACTGGCTCTAGAACGCCCCCCCCCTTTTTATTTTTATTTTTTTAAGATTTTATTGGGGAATTGGGGGAGGGGAACAGACAAGTTAGTGTCCTTTTGTTCTTTAGTCTAGTTGTGGAGGACGCCGTTTCACTGGCCCATGTTGGTATTATGATCATTGCGCTCTTCCCGGCTGAGGCAGTTGGTCGCTGGCCATTGGACGGCCGTTCACGGCAGCTCAAGGCAGCTCCCGGCAGCTCTCTCTGGCTGCCAGCCGCTCACGGTAGCTCACCGCAGCAGGGGCTGCAGCCTACGCCGTTGCAGGCCACTCACGGCAGCCCAGCTCCAGGTCGAGCTGTTGTTCACAATCTTAGCTGTAGAGGACGCAGTGTCACTGGCCCATGTGGGAATCGAACCAGCGACCCTGTTGCTCAGAGCTTGCACTCTTACCCAACTGAGCCACTCGGACAGCCCCATATTATAGTCTTTTAATGAATGAAAAAAATTTTTTTAAATAATTGAGTCACACAATAGTACATCCTTGAAAGCCACTGCTTTATTAATAGCTCTTTTTTATCAGGAGATTACCACATGCCAGAGGGTCTCAGGACCTTCCCAAACCCACTGCTCCAGTTCAGCCTTTCTAGAGTTATGTGTCCGACTCCTATCTCAGGCACAAATGGTTCTAGGATTTCGGGATTCATCTTCGGTGCTCTAATGCTTCCCTTGGCCCCAAGGAACATCTTTGGGAATGCAGAGTGAAGCATGGATGGGGTTTGGAGGGCTGGCTGCTACAGGCAGAATCTAGGGTAGATACCTTTCTACCTTCCTGACTGACGCCATCTCCTCTCCTCAGATCCTGGTGGCTTTGAGACACCTTCACTTCAAAAACATCGTTCACTGTGACTTGAAACCAGAAAATGTGTTGCTGGCATCGGCTGACCCATTTCCTCAGGTTAGTTATGTCCCCTCCTGATTTGGGGGAGTCCAGCAGGTGGGGATGTCTTATATTAATCAAGATAATTAATCACACACAGAAACCCAAGATAACAATAGCTTAAATGAGAAAATGAGATAGAGGTGTGTTTCTCTCCAGTTTAAGCATCCTGTGGTTAAAAAAGTAAGTCCTGTAGTTTTGGGGACCACGGCTCCTGCTGTCTTGTTATTCTGGCCTCTCTGTGGTGTTGCCTGGTCTTCATGGTCCATGATGGCTGCCTACCATGTGAAAAGATAATAGGAGAGGAAAGGAGGAAAGACACAGGGTAGAAGAAATGGACATACCCCTTTCCTTCTCTAAGGCAACACTTGGAAGTTGCTCTTATCACTTACCCTCACATCCCATTGGCCAGAACTTGATCACATGATCATGGCTGGATGCACAGGGGGCTGTGAAATGTAGTGTTTTCTGGGTGATCATGTGGCCCATTCAATTTAGGATTTTTATTACTATTATTTTAAAAATTGGTTTCCACATTTTTTGTTTTTATTCTCTTTAAAATTTCTAAAATTGAGGTATACATTATGTTGGTTTCAGGTGCATAATATAATTATTCAATGTTGTATATATTGTGAAATGTTCACCACAAGTCTAGTTAATATTGGTCACCATACATAGTTACAGAATGTTTTTTTACTTATTTATTTTTTTTTAAAGATTTTATTGGGGAATTGGGGGAGGGGAACAGTGCTGGGGAATCAGGGGAAGGGGAACAGACAAGTTGCTGTCCTTTTGTTCTTCAGTCTAGTTGTGGAGGACGTTGCTTCACTGGCCCATGTTGGTATTATCATTGCGCTCTTCCCGGGTGAGGCAGATCGGTCACCAGCCTCTGGACGGCTGCTCACGGTGGCTCTTGGCAGCTCACACCGGCTGCTGGCCACTCATGCTGGCTGCCGGCCACACACGGTAACTTATGGCAGCCCACTGCAGCAGGGGCTGCAGCCTACGCCGTCGCCGGTGACTCATGGCAGCCCAGCTCCAGGTCGAGCTGTTGTTCAGCATCTTAGCTGTAGAGGGCACTGTCACTGTACAGTAGAGTGTAGAGTGTCACTGGCCCTCATGTGGGATCTGAACCAGGGCCCTGCTGCTCAGAGTTGGTGTCCCAAGCTAGCTCTTAACCAATGCGCCACTCGGCCGGCCCCCAGAATTTTTTTTGTCATGGTAAGAATTTTCAAGACCTACTCTCTTAGCCACTTTCAAATATGCAATACAGTATTATTAACTGTAGTTGGCATGTTGTACATTACAGTCCCCTCACATTTATTTTATAACTAGAAGTTTGTACCTTTTCACTCCCTTCACCCAGGATTGTTATTATTAAGGGGAGAAGCAGAGAACAAATATTTGGGGACAACTAGTAATTTCTTCTGTGGGTCTGTTAGGAAAACAGTTTTGATGAGCCTCTGACTGGGTGATGAGCACTCCATTAAGGTCAGGGCCAGACTAGAAAAGGGTGATGATTATAACAGCTACAAGGTATTGAGTGCCTACTGTGTTTAAGGGCCTTTAGTGACATTTTCTCATTTAGCCCTTCCACGTCCCTGTGAAATTTTTGCTGTATTATCTACATTTTACAATCATTTAGTTTATTTCATTTCAAAAGCCAGCGGTTCATTTTAGTCAACTAAAAATTATTGTGTGCCTACTATGTGCCAGACTCCAGGTTGGGGAGTTAGGATCTGTGGTTAGCAAAGACATCCCCATTTCTATGACCAAGGAATGTCCTTCTATAGCAGTGATTTTCAGCTGGGGGCAGTTTTGCCCCGCAGGGGACATTTGACAATGTTGGAGACATTTTTGGTTGCACAACTGTTGAGGGGGAGGGTTGCTCCTGGCACCTAGGGGTGCTGCTAAACATCCTCCAGTGCATAGGACAACCCCATAGCAAAGGATTATCTTGCCCCCAATGTCAATAGTGCTGAGCATGAAAAACCTTGATTTTGAGCAATAGTATCCACTAGAAATATAATATGAATCCTATCTATAACTTTATATTTTCTAGTAGCCACACTGAAAAAACTAAAGAGAAACAGTGAAATAAATTTTAATAATATACTTTATCCTAGCATACCCAAATGTTATCATTTCAACATATAATCAACATAAAAGTTATTAATGAAATATTCTTTCTTTTCATGCTAAGTCTTCAAAATTTGGTGTGTATTTTACACTTACAGCACATCTCAATTCAGGTGTTAAACTGTCATCAAAAATATTTTTTTTATTTATATTTATTTATTTAGTTATTGTATTTAGATTTCATAAAACTAACAGTTGGAAAAGTAGATTGGCATACCCAAGTTGTTACAAACATATTTAAAAGTTTTACAATAACTAAATCTAGGATCAGTTTTTAAACATAAATTAATTAAAAGTAAATAAAATTTAAAAATTAGTTCTTCAGTTGCACTTGCCACATTTCAAGTGCTCAGTAGCCACATGTGGCCGGTGGTCACCATATTGGACAGTGCAGATCATAGAGGGAAGAGCAGATGTTGATCAAATTGTCACAAAAATATAATTGTATTTGTGGTGAGTTCTGTAACATGGTTCTATAGGTAACTGGTAACCTATAGAACCTATAGGTAACATGTAACAGGTACCGGAAGAAGTATAGTCCAGTTGGAGGGTCAGAGAAAACCTCTCTGAAGAAAGAGTAGAAGTTAGTTTTTTGGGGGACAAGTGTTCTAGGCAGCGGGAGCGGCCTGTGCAAAGGCCCTGTGGTGGGAAGATCTGTACTTTTGTTTTTTTTAATAGCTTTATTAAGATATAATTCACATATGATATAATTCATATACTGTACAATTCACCCATTCAAAGTGTACAATTCAGTGGCTTTTAGTATATTCACAGAGTTATACAATCATCAATACCACCAATTTTAGAACATTTTCTTCGCCCCAAAAAGAGACCTCATACCGCTCAGCCATTATCCTCCAATCCCGCCATTCCCCTACCCCTAACCATTAATCTGCTTTCTGTGGATTTGCCTATTTTGTACATTTCATGTAAGTGGACTATACAATAATGTAATATGTGGTCCTTTGTATTTGTCTTCTTTCACTTAGTTAATGTTTTCAAGGTTCATTTATGTTCTAGCATGTGTCAGTGCTTCATTTCTTTTTGTGGCCGAATAATATCCCATTGTAAGAAAAGGGTGGGCCTTTTGAGCTCCTTTTGCTCAGCCCACTCCAAACTCTTTGGAGTGTACTTTCTCGTCTGATAATGGCCCTTGAGCCACTCTCTACTGCTCAGGCCCGCTTCTGCTTCTTTGAAATGTATTTTTCTTCTAATAAACTGACCTTTTCTGCAACTTAAAAAAAAAAAGGGTGGATCTTAAAAAAGGAAAAGACCTATAAGATCTGTCAAAAAAGAAAAGGACCTTATGAAGTGTGGTATTGCTGTCAAGTTGAGAGTCAAGTCAGGGGTTGGAGTGTGGCTGCTTTTGAAGGCAACAGAGGCTTGGGGCTTCAAGGATTTTGTACTCTATCTGGAGAGCAGTCGTAAGCCAGGAAAGGATATTGAGCGGGAAGGGGACAGTACATGAACAGAGGTGGCAGCACAGAGGTGATGCTCCTATGGACTAGTAGGCAGCAGAGCAGGACCAGGTTTTCTGGCTCTAAAGCCTGTGCATAACCCTAGACTGCCCCCTCCAACAAGGGAAAGGTAGGCACACTCCTGTCTGGATACCATGGTCAGCAGTTTACCTGCCCAGTCCCATTTAATCCTCAGGGAAGCCTGAGAGGAAGCTGCTGTTATCCCCAATACAGAGGACAAAAGTGGGGCTGGGAGAAGTTAGGTCCCTCTTCTGAGATCTCTGAAGCTCACTCTGCCAGACACTGCTCCTAACGCTTTACATATGTTTTACTCTTTCAAGCCATACAGCTACCCTTTAAGGTAGGGACTGTTAGCATCTCCCTGTGCAGAAGAGGAAACAGGCACTTGGAGGTTAAGACCTGTACCGCGAAGCAGAGGTATAGTGGCAGGTAACATTTATTGAGCATTCATTGCAGGCCTGGCATTGACTATCTTGTGAGCTTTGGATGGATTAACTCATACATTCCTCATGACAGTCTTTGAGGTATGATCCTCCTCCTCATACAGATGAGGAAACTGAGGCACAGAGAGTAGAAGGTTCACTCGACTAGTAAGTGGAGGAGCCTGGATTAGAAACACTATTCTATTTTCTCTAGAATACTGTGATGGGGGACACAACAACGGGAGGGTGCCGCCTCAACCCGCTTTCAGACCCTCCACCCCTCACCCCCGCAGGTGAAGCTATGTGACTTTGGCTTCGCACGCATCATCGGTGAGAAGTCGTTCCGGCGCTCGGTGGTTGGCACGCCGGCCTACCTGGCACCCGAGGTGCTGCTCAACCAGGGCTACAACCGCTCTCTGGACATGTGGTCGGTGGGCGTGATCATGTATGTCAGCCTCAGTGGCACGTTCCCTTTCAATGAGGATGAGGACATCAACGACCAGATCCAGAACGCAGCCTTCATGTACCCAGCCTGTCCCTGGAGCCACATCTCCACAGGAGGTGCACAGAAGCGAGGGGCAGGGCCCGCTGCGAGAGGGGTGGGGGATGGGAGGTGAGGGAGGGTGGAAAGAGTGGGCAGGGAAACAAGAGGGGTGGGCCTTGAAACAGCCTGGTATCATGGGGGTGGAGTCTATCAATGGGGCGGGGCCCAGGGGAGGACGTTCCTTTACACAGTGAGGCACCCTGGGCCTGGAACTTTGGGGCAGGCACTCGCGCGTGTATGCAACCAGGCCCCCAGACTCAGGCCTAGACTAGGTTCTGTGGGTTGGAAACAAAGTGCTCAGAGGCACTAAGACAGACACTTGGTTGGCGCCTTGGGAGCTAAGTAAGGCTTGGCCTGTCTAGGGCCAGACCAGAAGAGGGACTGTACCTGAGGAGGTGAAGGGCCTGAGTGGCCAGGAGAAGAGACAGATCCTCCCAAGGTGTTGGCTGGGGCCTGGAGTCTTTGAGGTTATGGCCCGAAAGGGTTAGCCCTGCAAAAACGGGACCAGGCTTGGCTAATTTGCTGGGTGCTGAGATGGACGAAGGATTGGGGTTTGGGGGCGAGTCCAGTGATGGAGGGGGCTGGTTTAGGGGCATGGCTAGAGGAGGGACAGGACCATGGAGGGTTTCTGAAGCTGTCTAGGAAAAGGACCAGCCAGCCATGAGACCAAAGTCACATCCAGAACCTTGGGAGCTGGCTGGGGTGGGGAGAATCATGGTGCTGTAAAGGAAAGGGGGGCCAGGACCAAAGTGGACCTCGGGATATCTGTGTATAGGGGCTTTGGTGTCGTAGCCAGGTAGTGGCACTGAGCCTTGTGATTTGGGTCTGCTGCCTTGGGGACTGGTCTGGGAAAGTTAAGTCCTGGAGCCCTGCAACTCTGGGGCAGAGCCAGGTATGGAGGTGAGCCAAGGACGGGGCTAAGACAAGAAGCCCAAAATAAGTTAGAACAAGGGCCAGGTCCTGGAGCCACCAGCTCAGGAGGACAGAGGGAGTATGAGAAGAAGGTTAAGAAGACCATCGTTGATTCATAACAGTTCTTTCAACAAGGATATATTGAGTGCCTACTATATGCCTGATTCGGATTGTCTTAGGTTCTGAAAATACTGAGATTGAGTTGGAGAAAAGAGATCATGAGGGGAGAAGGTTGTTGAGTGGTCTGTGAACAGTGAGAGGAAGGGACCTAGAAGGGTGTGACCTCATGGAGCAGGCAGAGAGAGGGGTGACATGAGGGTTACTCAGTTCAGGAAAAGAATTTGTGGTGGGCCTAAGAGAGGTAAGCACTAGCAATGAGAATGTGGATTGACTTGAGCCCTGGAGTAATACTGGAGGTCCTCAGGGTTGACTTTCCGGACCTCGGAAGTCTATTAGTATAAGTTCATCAAATGTGCATGAGTGAATTTGAGTGTGGGTGGATGTGCGTGAGGGAGCCTGTGGGTGTGAGCAGAGGGCCTATGTAGACAAGGCCTATACTCAGAAGGGTTTGCACAGTGAGGCCCTTGTCCTTGAAGGCTTCTGATCAAGGAGAGAGCCTCAGACAAGTGCTGGTTTGTCTTGAATGCCTGATACTCACTAATTCTTATTTCCATAAAGAACAGGCCTTGGTCTCTGGGTTTTCTGCAGGAAACCAGTGACTAACTACCATCTACATTGTTTATTTTCTTTTTATTTTTTATTGTGGACATGGCAAGTGATCTTTGAATTTCCCTTGACCAGGGTGGTGTAAAGTTTCCATTTTATATAAATTGTCATCTTAGAAAGTGAAATGAAACAAAGTAAATTAATGTAAAACAAAATTGTATCAATTTTTACTAAGTTAAATACTCATGTGGTTCAAAAAATTTTTTTTTAATTTTTTNTGTCTGAGAAATGGGTATGAATATTGGAGCTAGGTCTTGAAGGTTGTAGGGACACACACTTGGCGTAGTGACACAGGCTGGCCGCCTGAGGGGGCGCCAGCCCCGCTCGCAGAGCCTGGGAAGGGAGGGGGGAACCCTGGAAACGAATGCCCGGCTCAGACTCTTAGGACCATAGAACGCTGAGAACACAGCATCTTAGAAGGCTGAGAACAAAGCCTCTTAGAACGTAGAACAAAGGCCCCTGGAATCGTAGAATGGTGAGCGCAGAGCCTCACAGCATCTGTGAGACAAAAGACGTTTAGAGTCTGTCCTGGTCAAATCATAGAATCTTCAGTCGAGGGTCTTATAATTCCAGAATTTGAGATATAACCTATCTTAGACTCTTAGAAGCAAGACTGGCCACATAATTTGCGAGGCTCAGTGTGAAATGACAACGCGGGACTCCTTGTTCAAAAAATAAGAATTTCAAGACAGCAGCAGAGCATTAAAACCAAGCCCCTGGACCTTCTAAGCCGGTCGCACGCCGGTGAAGCTGGCCCCGCTTAGAAGCATAATGTTATGGGAATTTGTTGATCTTAGCTGGTCTGGCCCTCTAGTTTTACCCCTGAATGTCTGGGAAGGCTTCGTGGAAGAGGAGGCAAAATCAGGGCTTGACTCTAACACGTTCCTCCTCCTGCGCAGCCTCAGAAGCCGAGAGGTGCGAGGGGTTGGGGGAAGAGTAGCATCTGCCAAATTGTCACTCGGACCCATTCTCTATTTATAGATCACCCCTTCCCTTCCTGCGGGACAGTCCAATGATAGCCAGAGGAACCAGCTGCGGTACCGGGGAGGCACGGACCAATGACATTTGAGCAAGGGCGGACTTGTTTCATTGTGACGCGTGGGGGTGTGTGGTCAGGGCCCAGAGGCGGGCGAACGGGGGGGTGGGGGGCGTGGCGAGGCCGCCCGAAAGCCGAGAGAGTAGGCAGCTACGAGCATGCGTCGCGTCTGGGGGCGGGTGCACCGCCGAGTATCTTCGTAAGGGGTTCCCACCAATCGGCTACGGTTGCTGTGTGGCCGGGGGTGTGGTCATGTAGATAAGGCGCGGGTGGGCGGGCCAATGGGCGGGCGCCTATGCAGATGAGACGGTNGGAACAGACAAGTTGCTGTCATTTTGTTCTTCAGTCTAGTTGTGGAGGACGTTGCTTCACTGGCCCAAGTTGGCACCATAATTGCCCAAGCCAACTCTTAACCAATGCACCACTCGGCCATCCCTCAAAATTTTAAATGTAATACAAAAGGGCCTATAGTGAAAATTCTCTCACACTCCTTTGTCTGCCATTCTTCCCAAAGGCAATGGCTATTATGAGTCTCTTATATTTATATGCAAGCAAATATGTGGACATAGATCCTCTTATTTCCCCTTTTTACACAGATGGCAGCATACTACTATCCATGCTGTTTTTCAACTTGCATTGTCCACTTCACATTGTATCTTGAACAAATGAGTTGGCTGAAAGAAAAATACTAAGTGAAGAATAGTACAGGTGTACCTGTATGTACCTGTGTATGACAAAACTTACGAAGGTGACATAGGAATGGGGAAACTGAGGTAGACCCTTGAAGAGATGTAGGAGCGAGTGTGGGTGCCACGTGTGTGGGGCGAGACAAATATGTAACCTAATGAGGAAATGGGTGGATGAGTGGTCGGTGTGGGTGAGGTTTCCAAGGCACCTGGGCCAGTGCAGAAGAAAAGCCTGGATGGCAGGCAGGTAGGCTAGGGTGGCCTGTTGGAAGAAGGGCGACAGGGTTTGAACCGTCTCTATCCTTCCCATTCAGCCATCGACCTCATCAACAACCTGCTGCAGGTGAAGATGCGCAAGCGCTACAGCGTGGACAAGTCTCTCAGCCATCCATGGTTACAGGTGATGCAGGGGGCGGGGCTGGAACCAGATCTTTTACCGGCTGCGCAAGTAGTGAAGGGTGTAGGTTCATTTTCTGTGGATACGGAACGTGGTTGAGCCTCCCATTGGCTGGGCTATAAGGTTGGCTTCACCTTTTTTTTTTTGGTACCTGGCCTCTCACTGGCTGCGCAGATAATATGGGGTCGCTATTGGCTGCTCTCCGGGCACCGCCCCGCCAAGCTAACCTGTGCTCTCTTCGGCCCAGGAGTACCAGACGTGGCTGGACCTCCGAGAGCTGGAGGGGAAGATGGGCGAGCGGTACATCACGCACGAGAGTGACGATGCACGCTGGGAGCAGTTTGTGGCCGAGCACCCGCTGCCCGGGCCAGGGCTGCCCGCAGACGGAGAGCTGGGTGGGGGAGGTGAGGCCCTCCCACCGCAGGATCATGAAATGCAAGGGCTAGCGGAGCGCATCAGTGTCCTCTGAGGCTCAGTGACCTCGCTCTGGCTGCTCCTTGATACTGTCCGCCCACCGCC